TTCTTCTTCTTCTTCTTCTTCTTCTTCTTCTTCTTCTTCTTCTTCTTTTTCTTCAGCGTTTGTCTCGCGCTCTGGCGAGGTCCGCTAATGTCCTTGAGTATTGCTTCCACGCCTCTCTGTATTCTGCAAAACTATGGATAAGTATCTCTTTTGTACAGGTAGTCCTCAACTTACAGCTATTCATTTAGTGACTGTTCAAAGTTACAACCGCACTGAAAAAAGAGACTTATGACTGTTTTTCATTGCAGGCTAATTCTGCTGACTGCCAGGAGTCTGATTCTGACTGGCTCAAGATTGATTCAGCCTTCCTTCCTTCCGAGGTGGGTAAAATGAGGACCCGGATTGTTGGGGGCAATAGGCTGACTCTGTAAACCGGTTAGAGAGGGCTGTAAAAGCACTGTGAAGTGATATATAAGTCTTAAGTGCTGTTGCTATTTTCATACTTACATACATACTTTTCATATTTAATGACTATTGCAGCATCCCTCATGGTCACAAGATCAAAATTTGGATGCTTGGCAACTGACATGTATTTATGACAGTTGCAGTGTCCTGGGTCAGGCGATCCCCTTTTGTGACAAGCAAAGTCAATGGGGAAGCCAGATTTACTTAACAAAAGTGTTACTCACTTAACAACTGCAGTGATTCATTTAACGAGTACGGATTCATTTAACGAGTACGGCAAGAAAAATCATAAAGTGGGGCAAAGCTCACTTAACAAGCATCTTGCTGAGCAATGGAAATGTTGGGCTCAATTGTGGTCGTAAGTTAAGGGCTATCTGTACTATTTTAGTATGTAATACACTTTGCAAATATGCTCAGCAGATGTATCAATAAAACCATGATCAATATAGTTGAATCAACCTAGCTAAAAAGGTCTTTCTTAGAAAATAGAATCAATCTATCTAAAAAGGTATTTCTTAGAAAATTAAAGTTCACAACTTGATCTTTAATGAGATCTTTCCACTCCTATTATAGGTTATGGAATATTGGGGAAATTACCATGGTTCTCAGAAAGCAGCTGCTGTCATTTTTCGCTCTTTGCATATTCTTTGAAAAGAAGCGCTTTGGAACATCTAAAACACATCCAAAGTACCCCTCTTTTGAACAGGCATGTCTTTTCCAGACTTGCATGGGTCCTTCAAAAGCCAATTCTATCCCTCCTACCATGTGAGGTACTATCTTATGCAAATGATGTGAGTTAAATATATACAGGTTGTGTTTTATTGATATGAGATCACTTCCAAAGGTTATTTGGGAAGCATCTACATTCTAATTCCATGACATCTTAAAAATGTAAAAACAACATATACAGGAAAAAAAGTGATTTTCTTTTAGGTAATTTTTCATCTTTTTCTCTCTTATGAAATAGTTATTGATAAGTTCTGTAATATTAATATTTAAAAATATTTATTTATTATTACGTTGAGTGGCCGCCCACCTCGCAATTGGAAGGGCATGATGTCTCTGATTATCAAACTGGAAATCAGGCATTTTTCCTCTGGGAAAGACCACCTTAAATCGTGCAAATGTATAAATAATCATCATTTTCGTTTAGTTCCTAATTTAAACCAATAATGAAGAAATGTAATTAAACCTCAGATGACTTGCCTTTTTTTAACCACTTCTTGTGGTACAATTGCCTTGGACAACATTTCTTTGTATACTGGAGACTTCAAATAGCGACCATAAGAATCCTACTAGGGAAAAGAAAGGGAAACTGGTAGTTGTAGATTGTAAGCATCCTAATTAAAATCATCTCTCTAGACAGCTGTTTAGGAGTCAAAGAGGCTGGGAATGGAGGCATCAAGAGAATATTCTCACCAAGTAGCAAAAAACCCCATCTCTTCTTAATGTTAAATATGCATCCTGAAAATTAAAGCTCATATGGCTAGAATACACACACACACACACACACAAAAGCGAGGCAAGGGAGATGTTTTCTCAGATGCTGACTGGCTCAGATGGGGTTGGGAAAGACACTGTCTATTGTTCTTGATGTTATTTTCTATTGAGCATTGAACGCAGAGTTGCTGTTGCAAAATGGGGAGCCATGTAAATTGAGTAAAAGAAAATAAGTAAATAACAGAACAATTGTGGCAAAAGAAAGTTTTCCTGAAAATAAGACCCAGTCTTATATATTTTTCCTACCCAAAATGGCATCAGGTCTTATTTTTTTTTGCGCAGTGTCTTCCACTGACACATCTTGCAGTGGTGGCACTGACAGCCCTGCCCAGCAGAATCCGCTGCCGGCCTACTTCTTCTGCAGTCGCTTGTCACCACTTGCGTGCATCAATCCCGGCCTCCATTTCACTATCAGAGACCTTTAGGAAAGGCATCTGCAGTAAGAAATGGGCTCTGAATTGATGTGTGTGGTGCCCCCCACCCCGGCCTCCATTTCACCATCATAGGCCTTCAGGAAAGGCATCTGCAGCCAGTAACAGCACTCCAGATCTCTATTATCGGCTGCAGAGGCCTTTCCTAAAGGGCCTCTTATGGCAAAATAGAGGCCGGGGTGACACACAATCCGGACCTTGTTTCTTGGCTGCAGAGGCTTTTCTAGAAGGCCCCAGATGGCGAAATGAGGCCAGGGGGGATGCTGTGCATGTCAATCTGGAGCCATTCCAGAAGGCCTCTGACAGTGAAACAGAGGCCGGGGACGATGCACGCAAGCGGCGGCAAGCAGTCACAGAAGTGGGTTGGTAAGGCAAGGCAGGTGTCGGGCCTGGTAAGTAGGACAGCTCCACCATCCCCGCTTATCCCCACCCTAGCTTAATTTTTACCCGTACATCTTGTCCCACCCCCTGCACCCCGGAGTGGGCATGGTCTTAATTAGGGCTTATTTTAGCGGGGTAGGGCTTATATTGGACACACATGTGAAAATCAAGCTAGGACTTACTTTTGAGGTAGGTCGTTATTTTCAGGGAAACACAATAATACCCATAATAATAGACATCTTGGGTGCAGTCCCAAAACAACTAGAACACTACTTGAACACTATTGGCATCAGCAAAATCACCATTTCCAATTGACTACCCACGTAGAAGTACCGTACAAGTAGGTTATGTCATAATAACTGCATGAGTCATACTAATATATGGCAATAAACTTTACCTTTGAACAACTGGAATGCTGAGCAGACCGTTTTTGTTTCTTATGTTGCTAAAACAGGTAGTCATAAGATGGAAGAGATGAATTGATAATGGTATACTAAAACTTTTGGGTAACAACGTATTATGGCTGGTCACACAGTCAGTCAAGTGTTTGAATTTGGCATTTTTATCCACCTATCCAGTCCTTCCCAAAGACTTGTGATAAGCAGATGTTGCTGTTTGACGATGTTAAATGTATAGCAGAATGCAAGCTGTTCCAGTAAAGCTGCCTTTTGCAATTGATGGATGATGATTTTGTCAATGTCCACAGAGGGGGAGCTGGTGTGAAGGACCACAGTAAGGTGGCAGTTTCCTTTTTTGGAGGGAGCACATTCCAGAAAGGGGCTGGGGTGCAGTAAGAGGCAGCACAGAAAGGAGTCTGGATAGCCACTCCCTATAATCTCCTAAGATATGTCCATTAGGCTAATAGGAACAAAGATTTAGTCTGGCAAGATTCTGTATGAAATGGTAAGCAAATAAAGAACTGAGCGCTAGCTGAATTGTTCTATATTGTTCTTGGACTTAGCCTGTCATGAGTGGAAGTCTGTTCTGCCCTATTGAGATCTGAACAGCCCCAGACATCAGGTCAAGACATTGATAGCTTCACCTGTGCCATTTGGGGTTGATAAGCAGAACTGAGTACCAGCAGAATACTGATAATATCACACTCCAAACTAAAGGATGACCTTACCTAGTGGTGTCGTGTAGATGTTGAAGAGAAGAGGGGAGAGCATCAAATCCTGAGGCACCCCACACAAGGGGCTGTGAATGCAATCTCTCCCCATTGTCTCCAACTAGAACTGACTACTGAGAAAGATGAACCACCGGAACACAATGTCTCCCACAGTTCCACTCCTACCCCCCCCCCCAACTGGTTTGGACAGGTTCTGTGGTCAATATTATTGAAAGCTGCTAAGGAGCACTTGATGTACATCCCATTGCACACCCCATTCTGGTTCCGCCAAAGGTCAACAATAAGTGCAAACCAATGTGCCTCTGTAATATACCTTGGCCTAAAGCCACACTGAAATGCTTCCAGCTAACTGCTTCCAGATAATCCATCTGTCCTAAGATCCTATGAAGGTGTCATTCAACCACCTTTTCCACAATCTTTCCCAGAAAGGGGAGATTGGAAACTGGCCAATAATTCTCTGAGAGGGAAGGGTCCAGAGCTGATATCTTGAGGAAGGGGCATAGCATTGCTTGTTCAAGATTGGTGGGGCCATCCCCTTCTCTCAAAGGGGCTAAAACCGCTGCATGAACCCACCCCTGTGTTCCCCTCCCCTAACAAGGAGAAGGCTGGATTAATAGATATAAGGACCTTGTCCACTTCAAAGCCCAGGACATCTCAGTTCCTGAAAAACTGAATTTTCCTCTTGAAAAACTTATTCTTGTATGAAAGTCATTCATTCCAGAATGAAAATCATGCAGAACCAACCCCAAATTATCTTTCGTCACACAGAGATGCTCCAATGTGTTCTCTTAGGAGCAACAAGGAAGAGATATTTGTCTATATCTAGGTGTGTGTATACAGTATATATGTTAGTATCCTTTTTGTTTCCTTCAAAAAATATCTAGGTAGCTGGAATGGAAATTCAAATGGAAAAGCAAAATGACCAACCTTTTTCATGAGCATATAAATATGAGTCTGTGCAGCATCTAAGACATAGCGTTGAGGGTTTTTGAGGCCTCTGACTGTAATGCCCATAGTGGTGCTATCAATATTAATCCAGCGTCTTGCTCCTGGGGCCAAGAAGGTTCTAGAATTGATAAGGAGAAAAAATATTTAATAATATCAGGAAGTTGGGATTTTTTCTCATCAATAAAATCCTTTTTTTTGCTTTTTGAATATGAACTGATATTGCATCACTTTCACATATTTCAAATATGATGTTGATAACTAATAATACACAGGACTAATATCACAGAAGATAACAACTATCATTGGAACCTTGAAGTATTTTCACCATCTCCAACTGACAGTATGATTAGGCTGTAGACTTCTTCAATGAAAAAAAGTCACATTTAATGGCTAGCTGCCGAAAAACAATGTGGGATAAAAATCAAATAAATAAATAAGGCAGAAGTTTAGGAAAGGGTAGAATTCTGAATAATAGTCTGATACTATTAGCTTCTATTGATGGACACAGTTCTTTATTTCTATTATGGTACAATATGATTATATTATTAGACTGTATTCTCACTGTCATTCCTTTCACTGCTTAATTACCGAATACAGCAAGAAAAGATACTAGAAAGATTTCAAAGTAGAATATCTCACTTGTAAATTTCTTCTGCTTTTTCTTTCGCTTTGGATTGATCTCCATACTTCAAATCTTCACAAGCTTCCCAAAATCCCAGATTCTCACCTGAATTAAACAGGAAGAAGAAACAGCATCTTATTTATTAAATTTATACACCTCCATCTCATTACTGAGAGTGACTCTCGGCAGCATTTTATGATATCAACTCTTGTAAGACAATATTAAAAACAGAATAAATGAGGTCTAGAATGACCATATTAAGATCATGAACAGAGTTCTAGAACATTAGCAGATTTAATTTTTCTGACTCTGCTCTCCAAATCATAACAAACAATTTCCCATTATCCAAGTAACACATGGAAATTATTCTCCCTGGTATGTGGCTATCATATTACACCTTTTTTATTTAGGAATGTCCCAAACCAGGGGGATTTGTAAAGGACAAAACTTAAATGTTTTTGAGCCCTTTTACTAAACCATGAAGATTCTGTTGGGCCTCAAGTATATAATGGCTTCTCATCTCATAGACAAAATCTATAATAAGTCATAGCTTTATTCTTATTATGGATAGCTGCGATGTAATCCCACATCACCTTGCAAATAATTAAGGGATTAAATCACTTTCTGTGCATAAAAGTCCTCTCAGCTTGCTGTGGAACAGTGGACAACAATGACTTCGGACTAAACACCTTGACAAGTGGGAAAGCAGGCACATCTTCATACCTACCACTGAATTCCTTCTTCAGGAACAGCTGGAAATTCTGACGTCCTTTGGGGTCCTTCATCAGCTCATTAAAGTTTAAGGCCCATTTCTCCACCCGTGTCTTGGTGGGGATTTCTACCCTGCCAAAAGAGGAAAAAGTCTCTTTTAAATTAAGATTGAATTCATGGACCTGCTCACATGTTTATTTATAAATAAACAGTGTTGCTTCTCCCTGAAATCAATTATTTTGAGAGGTGTCTATTTTGTTTTGTGTTTTGACAGAACTGAGAACTCTGTCTGTCCTTTCTTAGCAAACTTGTATTCACATGTGAGTGAATGCTCAGCTCCATTTCTTGATTGAGGGAGCCAGTGTTGTCCAAAGACAATTTCCAAGGTCATGTGGTCAGCATGGTTATATGCCAAAGCTACACATAGACATTCATAAACTGAAAGTTGTTCTGACACTAAAACTGGACTGGAAGATATCCAGGGTTCCTTCCAACTTGATTATTCTGTTCTGTTATTCTTTTTATGCTTGAGTGTAACCATCCCATCAAGCCCAAAGAAAGTCTGGAATAGTACAGGATCTCTTGCCATGGGCAGGGGGTTGAACTAAAAGACCTCCAAGATCCCTTCCAACCCTATTATTCTATGTTCTAAAAGAAAAGGGGGAAAAAAGGAAAAGCAAGTAAGAGTCAATGTAACTTAGGAGCTGAAATAAACGCTATACATACAGTTTTGCATTGAGTTCCCAAAAATCCACATCATCAGAAACCCAAGGGTTGCTGGGTAGGCATCCTGAGATTATAGGGTCGTTGGAGCAGAACTGTTCACAGTACTTCACTATTCTGAAAGTATTAGAGACAAAAACCAGGGAAACATCTACATGCAGTTATTAGTCCAGAATAAATAGATGAATTAACATTATTCACATTTCCAATGACATCCCAGACAGGAGAACATTTCATTGATGATATGATGAAACAGTAACACTTGCAGTTTTCTGTGTAGCGTATTATTGACGTGCCAGTAATTATCGTTCCTGTATTGTTTACAGGGTTAAGAGACATGGAGCTCTCCAAGAAACTGCCTTCAAAAGTCTAATTATACTACACTTGAGTTTCTGTAGGTGGCAGCCCTTGGCCAACCTTATTTAGATTCAGAAGTTAGACATGTTTGGGCCTGATTAATATGCTTACTACATGGCACATTGTTAGGAATATAAGTCACCTAACAGGTATTTGGGTTAGAAATATATAAACCAGGATAAACATTTTAGTACTATATCTTTAAGGGAATGCAAGAGCATGCAATTGGGTGTGGTTTCTCAAACAGCCATAAGATGGAGCCAGAAACCTGGGTTGTTTAGTCTTAGTCTCAGAAGAGAGTATGTCTCCATATCTGTTTCCTTCTGTTGGAAAGTATTGCCGTTGCTCCATTTCTTCTAATTGACTGATATTACTGGATTTAATGTAAGTCTGATACTGAACTGTTTTTTGACACTGGAATTTGATATTTGGATTATCCCTGGATTGAAAACTGACTGATTTACTTGTGAATGACTTTGGATTGCTTATTTTGGACTTTGCTTAAACCTTTCTGGAAGTAAAAACCTACATTTACTGTACAGTGTATCTGTGTACTGTGTGTATATCATTCAAACACTTCTCTCTATACGTCTCCCTGTATGCGCTCATTCTCCTAAAGGGGAATTACCTCAACACACATTATTAGATTGTTCCACTTTGGAATGATACAATGGAGCAGATGTTTGAATGGATGCCCAAACACCAAAGCATCAGCCATAGAAAGTTTGCATGATAGACAGAAAAGATGTACCTTAATTTTATCCCAGATACAACACTTCTCTATGAAGAGGATTTTCGTTTTGGCATGGGAAGTAATTCAAACATGGGATCCCTCACTTGCTGTTAGAAGACTGAGAACTGATTACACCAAATAACTTTTCTAAACAAGTTCATTGAGGATTGAGCTGTTGAGCATTGGGTTTCTATTGGCAGGTGCTTGGTCTGGCAGATATTCAAGCCCACCTTACATTTTTAAGACAGTCAAATACCTGGCTAGAATTCTGACTGGCTAGAATTGATATGCTGTAGTTAGGAATGCAGCTGAGATTTTCTATCAACATCTCCCAAAGTACCTTCCAGCAATTCTTGCTTACAGAAGCAATAAATTCTAGCTTTCGTTTTTCTGCAACTCTATGGTAATTTCCTGCTTATAGATGTTTCAGATGAAGATGATTATATCAACAGTGGTGCATATAAACTACTTATGCACATAATTCATGGGGCTGCAATAGAGGTGGTATTCAGCAGGTTCTGACCAGTTCTGGAAAACCGGTAGCGGAAATTTTGAATAGTTCGGAGAACCGACAAATACCGCCTCTGACTGGCCCCGCCCCCATCTATTCTCTGCCTCCGGAGCACCAGCTGATCGGCTGGGTCTTCTTTTATTGGCCGCACAGGAGAATGGAGCTGGAAAGCAAGTTAGTGGGGTGGGGAAGGAAGGGGATTTTGCAGTAACCTTCCCCTGCCACGCCCACCAAGCCACACCACGCCCACCAAGCCACGCCCACAAAACTGGTAGTAAAAATTTTTTGACTCCCACCACTGGGCTGCAAGGTTACATCAAAAAGAAAAAATAAATTAATTTAGAACATAATGTACAATAAATTCAAAAAAGCTCCAATAATTAATTCCCTCAGGATGAAATATGCTGAAGTTACAGAAAAGATAAACAGTACAAAAATGCTAGTATTTTCAGTTTTTAGTTTCAGAACAATTAAGCAGATTTATACATTTTTTAAAGGATGGAATTAAATACAGTTGGAGCTTCCCTGGCCAGCATTTGATGTGTGAAAAGGATAATATTGTGGTTAAAAAACTAATTTTAGATTATAGCAGAAATGAGAAATTGATCATTTAGGAGGAATTCATATATAGATATAACAAACAAACATATATAAGTTTGGTCCTTTTAAAACAAGAATTTCATGGACACATTTGGAAATGTCCTAATTGCTCTAAAATGGATTACTATTCTATAATACTACTATTCAATAACTATTTTTTCAACAGGTTAGTGGATTGGAAATAATGCTAATTATGAGTCAGAAGAACAAGTAAATAGTGGAAATCTGAACATGGTTTATTTTTCAGTGATAGGCACTCCTTACAACTGGCGTTCCTGTTCAGAAGTCTAGTTGTAGAAAGCATGACTGTCCTGCTTGTTAAAAACCCCAAACGGAACTTACAAGATTACAACTGTAAATTTATGAATACTGGGAAACTTGGGAAGGAAACCTGTGAAGGGAAGGAGGAATGCATATATTTGTATTAAAGCCACTTAGGAGTGTGTTTGGACTGAGGTGTCCAAAATACTGTCCCTGTCCTATTGTTTCTTTTATTTTTCTTATATGTACCCATTTCATGTATTCATAACTATGTATATACTTATACCTATTATCTTGTAAGCGATTGACAAATCAAAATAAATAAATAAATAAATAAAAATTAAAAAATATGACTTGCGCCCTCACAATTACATTACTGCAACACATTTTAGGCCTCAGTGGTGATTCAGAAAGTATAGTTGGTCTTGACTGTTGACAAAGGAGAGAATCCCAAGGATATTTTTTCAAAAGGCAACTGGACTTTCTATGTGTGTTTTTCTTGAAGATATTTCTTGGATGAGAAGCATCCTCAGTTCTGACTGAATACTGGGGAATGGAAGGATTTATATTCCTTGCAGTCATCTGGTTGTTAAGGTAGCACCCACCACTTGAAGGTGGGTCATTAGCTCTCTGAGAGTCATGGAGAGGCATTTAGCAATTGACAGCTATCTTGAAGTTGCTACGTTGGTTGACTTTAGACCCCCAGGTCCAATTCAATCCCAATTTTACCTGTGCACCTACTTTCTGAGAGGGCCTGAGTGGGCCTTTGGCAAGTCCTCAACTGAGTGAGGTTAAAGCTGGGGTCTTCAAACTTGACAGCTTTAAGACTTGTGGACTTCAACTCCCAGAATTCCTCCTCCAGTCATGTTAGCTCAGTAATTCTGGGAGTTGAAGAACACAAGTCTTAAACTTGCCAAGTTTGAAGACCCTTGGGTTAAAGGGTTGGGACCCAAAGATGTGTTTTCTTGGTTGAGGCCCCCTTGTTATGGATCACCTTGCCTCCTAAAGTAAGGACAGCCCATCCATCTTCAGGTTATGTTTCACAAAGCAGCAAAATCCTTCATGTTCTGGTAGGCTTCTGGGAAAAACAATAGGCCTGAATGCTTTTGTTACTGATGTATTGGTTTCTAATATTGATTGTAGCATACAATCCATCCTAACTTGTGAGAAGTTACAGTCATAGAAAAATGCTGAGATGGACGGATGATGAGACAGGATATGTATGTGTGTGAGGTAAGGATATAAAGTATGTTTGTAAATAAGAGACATAGAGAGAGGGAAAGAAGGAAGAAAAGATTATCTGAAAATGAAATATGGAAATTTATACTGTTCTCACTGAATTATGTCTATTCGTACTATAGTACAGAGGTGGTATTCAGCAGGTTCTGACCAGTTCTGAAGAACCAGTAGCAGAAATTTTGAGTAGTTCAGAGAACTGGCAATACAATCTCTAACTAGCCCCGTCCCCATCTATTCGCTGCCTCCTGAGTCCCAGCTGAGTGGCTGGGTCTTCTTTTGTTGCCCTGAATAGGAGAACGGAGCTGGAAAGCAGGTTAGTGGGTTGGGGAGGGAGTGGGGATTTTACAGTAACCGTCCCCTGCCATGCCCACCAAGCCACGCCCACAGAACCAGTAGTAAAAAAAATTGAATTCCACCACTGCTACAGTAGTGTGGCTTTCTTAAGCAACCACATCTCATTACTGAATATATACAGTATATCTGTTCCTTTGGGGATTCTTAATTATAAACTCCTCTGGGTGAAGCTTATCATAGCAGACCCTTTCTATGTTTAAAAAGATAACATCTGGCTAAATCGCTTGATCAAAAATATTGCTTAAAAGACATACAAGATGTCAGAGCTTACCCTCCCAGAGAGACAGATGACTTTGTTGCAGACTTCATGAGTGCCTGTTGGAGGTTCATGATCTGTATAGGCAGATACATATAGATGCATAGGTTAGCAGAACAGCAAATAATTGACTTCAAGCTTTATTCACAAAGAAATGAATGCTTTCAAGAGCGGGTCACACAATGTTATTGTTCCTTAACATTGTGTGACCTGCTCTTGCAAGAAATGGTTGCCCAGCAGGCAGATTTCTGAATTGTAGTTTAAGTGTTGATGAAGTTTATTGTATTGGAAAGAACAAAGATAAACCGAAGAGACATTTTATTACAAGCTTGTTTCCATCACCTGCCATCCCTGGGCCATATTATTCCTACAAAGAACTTCCACTTAAAAGACAAGAGAAACAAGAATGGCCATAAAATCAATGTGTGGATTAGACAAGTGTATATAGCCTATTTGGAGGCACAACAAATGCATTAACTTAAGCCTCACACGTGGAGGAACCAATTCAAAAGATACTTCGGCTTTGAAACGATTGCAATGGCAAATAATAGCACACTGATGTGAGCGAGAAGGAAGGATGGGGCTTAGTTGAACACTCAGCCCTCAGCCATTTCAGTATATTACATAGATGCAATGACTTTGTGTAAATGACACAGCATCAATGCACTCAATGTGATCATTTGAACATTGGTAGCCAAGAAAGAAGTCAAAAGGTTGGCTTTACTGTCAGGTAGAATACAGGTAGACCATTTGAAATTACAATGGCATTTTAAAAAGTGACTTATGAGCGGTTTTCATATTTACAACTGTTGCAGCATCCCTGGGATCACATGATCAAAATTTGGACACTTGGCAATCGGCATGCATTTATGACATTTGCATGTCCTGGGATCATGTGATCCCCTTTTGTGATCCGACAAGCAAAGACAATGGAGAAGCCAGATTCTCTTAACAACCATTACTAACTTAACTGTAGTGATTCACTTAACAACCCTGGTAAGAAAGCTCATAAAATAGAGCCTCAGTGGTGCAGTGGTTAGAGTGCTGTACTGCAGGCCACTTCTGCTGACTATCGGCTGCTCAAATCCCACCAGGCTCAAGGTTGACTCTGCCTTCCATCCTTCTGAAGTGGGTAAAATGAGGACCCAGATTGTTGGGGGAAATGTGCTCACCTGTAAAACCGCTTAGAGAGGACAGTAAAGCACTACAAAGTGGTATAGAAGTCTAAGTGGTATTGCTATGTTGCTACTGCTAAAACTAATTTAACCACAGTCTAGCTTAGCAGTCAAAACTTTGGGTTCAATTGTGGTTGTAAGTTGAGGACTACTTGTAAAGGGATTAATAAGAACCAAATACGGTCATCTCGGGGGCAGGGGGGGAGAGATGATGAAATGAGCACCAGCTTATCATGATGCAAAGACTGTAATTTGTGCAAGCATTGCTACGCAAGTAGCATGTTTTGTGACATGGTGTCACCATGTGTGCGTAGGGCGTTAAGACAATGACCTTGGAGAAACAAGGCAGAGGTGATGTTTGCAAAAATAAGCTTTCAGCCCAGGAAACAGAGAAAGCCTAAGAAAGAATTCAGTCAGGCCTTCAAGATTCTATTAACACAGCTTATCCCCATGAACCAGCCAGATTTGTGCAGTCTTTTTCCTGACCTGGACTACCTGGAAGAGCTGAAGACTTTGTCATCACTCTGATGTCATCATGGTTTGCTATGGATGCCCATGAAAGCTAGTAGTCAATTATTTAATTATGTACAATTAAATACATGCACGGTGGCGCAGTGATTAGAGTGCAGTACTGCACGATACTTCTGCTGACTGCCGGCTGCCTATAATTTGGCAGTTCAAATCTCACCAGACTTAAGACTGACTCAGACTTCCATCCTTTCGAGGTGGATAAAATGACCCAGATTGTTGGGGGCAATAGGCTGATATTCTACCATAGGCCATATCATTTCATACGCCATTCTGAATGGATGCAAGAGAGGAAGGAACAAACTGGAGAAACTTCCAGGATCTTACTTGCCTCCTGACAGCAGTACAGGTAGTCCTCGACTGAGGTCCATAGTTGAAACCAAAATTTATCTTGTTATATAACAAGATTTGTTATAACAAGTATTTGTTAAGATTCACTTAACACGGTTGTTAAGTGAATCTGGCTTTCCAATTGACTTTGTTTGTGACAAGGTTTTGCAAAAGGTGACCACAGGACCCTGCAACCCTCATAAATATGAGTCAGTTGTCAAGCACCCTAATGTAGATCACATGACCATGGAATGCTGCAACGGTCGTAAGTGTGAAAAGTCACTAAATGAACTGTTGCAAATTGAGGATTACCTGTACATTTTGCAACTGTTTGATGTTCTGATAGATCTGCCTGGTTGTCATTTAATAACCGAGATTCTGGCCTTTACCCTCCTGTGGTCACATGACCAAACTGGGCATTAGGCAACCGGGCTGCATTTATAGCTGTTTGCAGCATCCCATGATCATTTGATCTCTTTTATGACAGCTGTGCGGAAAACCAACATTTGCTTCCAGTTTCTGGCAAATCAGTTCCCATAGTGAACTACTACTGGTTCATTTAATAACAGTGATGACCAGCTTAACATTTGCCATAAAAAGGTCACAAAGTTGACCAACGTTCCATCTGTGATGAGTGATGACTATGATGGACAGATTCCATTACATACATAATTCAAGGAGTACTTATATTCAGTCTGTCTAAAAATTGAATTTGCAGGTTATCATTTTATTCATAGATTAAAACAAAAGCAAAAAAAAAACTCCCAAGATTTTAAAGTGTTCAGAAGGGGATTTTTGACAATCTTGCTAAGATCTCTATATGTGCTATAAGTATTCATGCAGATTATAATTAACAATACACATTACAACAAATTACAATGAATTACCTCTGTCCTATATACATCAAATGTTTTTCTCTGTAAAACAAAGAAACACTGCATTGAAAAGAGTGTCACAGTCTGTTTGACAATTAAAACATTTAGATTAGCATCAATCCACTTCATCCAATAAATTATGAAGATATCCATGGACTGAATGATTTTATTCTTATTTAGTAGCTATAATGCCTGCTTCTTCTTAGCCTCTGTGTATGTGTGTGTGTGCATGCGCGCGCGCGTGTGTGTACATTTATAGGTATAACATACTGTATATAGAATAATAGAATAACAAGAGTTAGAAGAGACCTTGGAGGTCTTCTAGCCCCACCCCTTGCCTAGGCAGGAAACCCTACACCACTTCAGACAAATGGTTATCCAACATCTTTTTAAAAACTTCCAGTTTTGGAGCATTCACAACTTCTGAAGGCAAGTTGTTCCACTGATTAATTGTTCTAGCTGTCAGGAAATTTCTCCTTAATTCTTAGCTGCTTCTTTCCTTGATTAGTTTCCACCCATATATATGTATATTACACATATGGATGCATTTAATTACACATTTGTTATAATGGACCTAAAGTAGACTCATTTAGGAGATACAAATTAGAGTATTCAACATTAATGAAAACATTAATGAAAAGCAATAGGAAACAATATATTGAAATATATAAACATTGTAATTAAACAATAGCCACTGTGGTTATGCTATGATTTAAATAGCTCTGATGATGTTATAAGACATTCACCAGCAAAGCTAGGGATTGAAGGCTAGAAATTAACTGCAGGCTGTTTGTGCTTGCAGTTTCCCTTTGAAGTATCATGCATGTCTTTGTTTGAAATAAGCTGATGGAAGAGGAAGGCACAGACTTTCAGGAAAATCCCTAAGTTTTGTGGAGGCCCTTTCGGTTCTAAGAGTCTCATTCAAACACTCATTAGATCACATTTAAGGGTCACTTCTCAACAGTTTCAGAGAACAACAAACACCAGCAAGTGCATCCTTTATCAATAAAAAGATCCACCTTGTTGCTTGTATACAGAAAAGAAACTAGAAGGAAATGACAAACGTGTCTGCCCTCATGTCTTAGGAAAATAAATGGGTTTTAGTGGGAAATGTGGACATTTCGGTAATCTATCAATCTTGTTCACTTCAATAAATCTGGTTGAGATAACTGATTCATGCTTGGAAAAGGATTACTTTTGCTATGAGTCAACTATCCAAGAGCCACATATCATTAAGGATATAAACAAAAGGCAGTCTAAAGATGCACAAGTCGAAACTGGTAAGTGTTTCAGGAAAGGCTGCCTGATGGTTCCTGTCAATGAGCTTCAGGCTGTGTCATTGTATAATGGTTGCTAGGAAGACCTGGCTCCAAAGGAATAGGAAACTGTTCACTCACACTCAAGACAATAAAAGGGTGTGCCAGGATGGATGCTGTATCTGCATCTTGCTTATGTTAGGACAATTTCTTATTCCACTAGTCTATGATTACAATGAAATTCCAACTGAGTTCCAGCCCATCTGGAAAGACAATATGGGGGCTAATCCACAGGAATTTTTTTTAAAAGCTTCAAATGTTTATAAAGCAGCTGAATTAAAGTAGATCCAACCCTCATTTCAGTTGATTTCCATTTCCCAGGTTTAAATATCTAGTAATGTATAAGGACACCTGAGTAGGATCAGATTCACATTAAAATGACAGCACATTAGTCTTCTATAGGAGAAGCAACCAAGTACTTCACAGAGAACGAAGGTCATATACATCGGAGAAAAACAAACTAGAGAGAGAGAAAACAAAAGACAGAAGGGAAATGGTTAATTAATTATTTCCCACATATTTTTTTATATTTTCATGTTTATCTTTTATCTATCTAAAAATTTTCAAGAAAAAGAAAAAAGAAGAAAAGCACACACTTTTTATACATTCAGTACTTACTGAATCAAAGTTATATTTCCTATTTTAAGCTGCTATTTTTCTCTTTTTTTCTTCCTTTTTTCATCACTGCATTACTGTATTAGTTATTTATTTTTCATTTAGAATTAGTCTAAATGCAATCACTGACTTCTGTGATTCCCTTCATAGTTAGATCTGACCTGTTGAACATAATAAAACTCCCAATGACCAGAATTGAATCTAGAAATTTACAAACTTTTTGCAGTGCTTTTAGTCACCATCCAGTGTTGGCTGGCATAACAAAGGGATCTCCCCTACTAAGGGAAGAGCAAAGATTTTGAAAGGACTGAAAGCAGTGAGGAAGAGGAGATGTGGAAGGGAAGGTGTAGTGAAAATCATGCCACTTGTATTTCTTAATTAATCCAGGGTTAGGATCCAGTGTACCTTGCCTTGGTGACCTTTTTTCAAGATCCTTGTGTCGATAGATCCTACTTCTTTTTTCAAATAAGGTTTAGCAACCACCTCCTTTTATAGGGAAAAAGCTAAGTCCTAAACTCTTGCATTTGTGTCTCCTCTTCGGTCTCCATAGCAACAAAGCCCACTTGCCGCTGTGATTCCCTGCCGCTGTGATTCCCTGCCTCTGAGAGCTTGATTCACAAGAGAGCTTTGTTAGTCTTGCAAAGCATCACATGAAAACAATGCAAGGACTGTCTTGAGGGGGTCTTCAGTTGGATGCAAGCCAAGCATCACCTTCCACAAGAGTTCCACTGACTTATTGACAGCCTTCAGCTGCCAAGATTTTCCATCTCCCTTATTCCTCCATTCTCTGTAGAAAGCTCCATGATGTGAGTGGCATAGCCTGCCCAGCAGTATTATACAAATCAGATATATAGTTGAAATTAGGTACAAGCTTAGAAGGACTTAATTCTCACAGAGGTCTGGATGCAGTCCAGATCAAACTAATAGGATTTCCATTTCTTTAAAATCTGTTGTGCCTTATGAACACATTCCATAGTAGAAAACAAGGAAGGAAAGAAGCAAGGGAGGAAGAGAGAAAGAAAACTAAAAACCCTCTTGCAGAGAAAAAAAAATCTTTTTTTTTTTTTTGAGGCAAAAAATATATTAGAACCTTTGTTTACCTCATGCTGAATTTACATGCAAGATTTGCTTACCGTTCCAAAATGATGATGATCTATAATGAGATCTCCCACCTATTTAACATTTTGATTTTTTGACAGTCATAAGAGAGGCTGCAATCCAACCTGAGTTTCAGTCAGAGGTGATATGCAACCAGTTCTGATCGGTCCTGGTGGACTGGTAGGGAACATTTTGACTGGTTTGGAGAACCGGTAAGGAAGATTTTGACTGGCCCCGCCCACCTGCCCCTGCTCTTACCTCTCACTTCTCCTATATTCTGCTGTTTATTAGCTCAGCTGATTCGTGCAGCAGAGCGGATTGCCACACCACAGCTGAGTTAAAAAAAAAAGCATAGCTCACCAGGGAAGGGCCATCTCTGAGCCCTGCACACGATTCGCGCATTTGGCGTGCGCATGTCATAGGTGCAGCTACACAGCTCACCAGCCTTGATTCATAGGGCGGAGTTTGAGCACTGCGCATGCGCGTGCAAAGCAAGCTCCAAACAGGTAGGACTTTTTTTTTTTTAAACACATCACTGCTTCCAGTGGATGGCCAGATATTTTGAATAAAGGTATAAAAGGTATACATGAAATAAAAATGTTTCATTTGATATGCTTGACCCACAGTACCATTTGAAAAGGGGATTAACTAGTCTTTCTGATGCAGCCATTCCAAAGGATCTGTTTAAAAACAAAAAGGCCGCCACTCATTCCATGAACATACAGGAATGTTCAGTAATGGTCTGCCGCTGAACCCATTTGTATGATAAAATTAATTACAGTGTTAAGTTTATAATTCTATAATTAGAATAGCGCTAAAGCTTACCTGGTTTACCTTATTTTCACAGGGATCTGTCGCTCGATCCAGCCCATAATCAAGTGTGTCTTGCATTCCAGGCTATAATATAGAAACAAAACAAAAGGTCACAAAGATGTATTTATGTCATTTTTTTAACATTAGTCTGTATATAGGCAGTGCTTGACTCACAACCTTTCGTTTAGTGACCGTTCAAAATTACAACATCGCTGAAAAAAGTGACTTATGACCATTTTCCACCCCATCTGACCTTTGCAGCATCCCCAGGATCATGTGATCAAATTTGAGACACTTGGCAACTGGCATGTATTTATGACAGTTGCAGTGTCCCAGGGTCATGTGATCACCTTTTGCAACCTTTGACAAGCAAAATCAATGGGGAAGCCAGATTCACTTAACCACCGTGTTAGTAACTTAACAACTATAGTGATTCATTTAATAACTGTGGCAAGAAAGGTCATAAAATGGGGCCAAACTCAGTTGCAGTGTCCCAGGCTAAAATTCACTTAACAACTGTCGTGGTTAGTGAAAAAAAATTGGGGCTCAGTTGTGGTTGTATATTGACGACTACTTGTAAAATAAATTAATACAGCCACAGTAATACATGGGACATAAAAGATGCAGCAGCGCATTTCCCTTTTCTATGTATCAATGCTATGAAATATATCCATTGATGCATTTGGTAACTTCTAATAAACAGGAGCATTTTTCTACAAAGTCGAGCAAAATCTGGGCAAGGGAAGTTGGCTCATAAGGAGGGGGAAGCATTACCCATTGGAGAAAGGAACACTTTGACATAATAAACAGATTGGTACTGCTATCACATCTGCTTTGAACACAGCTGAGTTTGGATCTGCTATCTGATATCTGCTGAAGTTGGGCCATCAATAATTAAACCTCAGCCGGTGCAATCTTAAAAGGGGAGGGGGGGGGAAACAGCTCAAGAAAGAGAAAGATCCAAAAGCAAGCCTGACATGATCAAAGGGGTTTCAGCAGGAAAGATGAACTGGGACCAAAGGGGCCGTTGCGGTGTGTAGACCTTATCTACAGATGGTACTTTTCCCCCCCTCCAAGTCAAGCTCCAATTATAGCCTGACATTTGCTGGAGGCTTCTACTTTTCCGTCTGTTAACTGCTGGGCTCTCAGTGGCCATTTACACTGTGTGCACAATTAAAAGTGGATCTTTGATTATGATTTGGGATTAGGGAATGTAGCTCCTTGGCAAGCGTCAGAGTTCTACGGCCTGTTGTGATCAGTGTAGTAACTGCTCAGGGAAGCAACCCCCAGCATCTGCCAGAAGTGTCTCCCAAAGACCAGAAACCGTGCTGTTGTTTTGGGTGCTTAGCTTGATGTCTTTTTCCAGTGTGGAAAAGTTGCCAGAAGCACCCTGCGGAGCAGCCCAAGGCATGGAAGATGAATGAGGGAAAATTAGATAATAAGGAGGCAGAAATTCCACAAACCTGTATTTAATTTGGGGGCTTTGGGCAAATAACTTCAGTTGGTTTTGAGTGAAATTGCAATCGCAACCCCGTAGAAATAGGAGTCAAGCTACAGGAGCTTTGTTCATGGAAACAAATATAAACAATGCAGACTTTTGCACGATGCATATCAGAGAATGCAGGAGAAATCCATGGCTGCTTCCTTGGCCAGTTTGTCCACTGTCACAGGGAGGAAAAGATATCTAGGCTTCCTTGTCTCCTTATTGTCCATTTTTTATACTCCAGCAACCATCCTAAACACCATTCTCACATGAATCGTAAGAAATTAATTAACTCATAAGTGTAATGCCTCAATCCCCACCACAAATGTTCGGCATTTATTATTTACCATTATGTAACTAATGTATGAATAAAAACCCCAATGACAGATAGTCCTTGACTTATGACGTGTTCATAATGTGTGATAATGTAATAATGTGTCCCATTGAGTGAGATCAGGCAGGGTATATGCTTAGCACCAAGACATTCAGCATGTCTGTAATTTTGCTTCCAGTTGTTACAGTACATTGTAATCACCTTGTGTAATAGCACAAACACATTGACTTAAAAAATAAATCTACTCTTGCTTACAGGAGTCCGTTGCACCAGCCAGTAGGCTTTTTCTTGATAATCCAAAGTATACCGGTCTTGTTTCGTTCGTTCCTTTCCTGCACTGCAAAATTCAAGAAACTTTTTTTAAAAAATAAATCAAAACAGGAGATTATAATTGTTTCTTGGGATTATTTATATATTCTAACAGAAAATAACATACACGTGTCATGGAATTTTCTTGTAGATCTTTAATACACATGATGGAGAAAAACCTGCCACTTCATTCTATAAATATTCCCTTTTTTGATTCAGGGATCATTCTTTGTATATGTCTCTCTAAACAGTAGAAATATTCCATCCTTTAGTGACCTAAGAAGATGTTTAGTGAACTAAGATGTTTTCTAAAAAAAATAAAATACAATAAAGGACTTGTGTTATCCCCATTTTACAGCTAAGGATCTAAGGTTGTGAATTCTAGATTAAGGTGAGATAAAGCAACCACAAACTTTACTTTCATATTATGAAATTGGCTGTGGCCAGTCATTAAAAAAAGTTCTCCTAAGAAAGATATCAATGCAAGCATCCCATTACCAGAGGAAAAGAAAACAGCATACCTCCCAAACAGAATTTGGACACGGACAGACCATTGTCCATGAATTTTATTTATGTGCAAAATTGCAAGTCCATTACTAATGATGAGGCTCAAGGCAAAGGCAGAGCCAAGTTAATTTTTAATGACCCTTCTTAGAGGGAGAAGATAAAATAAAATTGCTCTGTACTGAACACCTGCACTTGCTTATTGCTTATTCCTTTGCTCAAACAAAATACAGATAATCCTCGGTTTACAATCACAATTGAGCCCAAAATTTCCATTGCAAAACAAGAGAGTTGGTAAGTGAATTTTGGCCCATTTTATGACCTTTCTTGCCACAGCTGTTAAGTGATTAATTCAAGTTGTTAAGTTAATAACACAGTTGTGAAGTGAAACTCGATTCCCCATTCATTTGCTTGTCAAAAGGTTGCACAGGGGGAATCACATGATCCCGGGATACTGCAACTGTCATAAATACACGCCAGTTGCCAAGCATCCAAATTTTGATCATGTGACCGTGAGGATACTGCAATGGTCATAAGTGTGAAAAATTGTTTTTTTTTTTCCAGTCACTTTTTTCAGCATTGTTGTAACTTCTACGGCTAAACAAATGATTGCAAGTCAAGGACTACCTGTACATCCCCATCCCCTCCTCAGGTAAGAAATGTCTCCTACCTGTACTGCTCCTTGGCTTGCATAATAATGAAGTCCCATTTATGATTGATGCGTTTGTTCAATATGCTATAATGTTCCTGGAAAAGAAACAGTGGGTGAGAAAGCAGCAAAGGCAACATTGTGATGCACTCAACAACAAAGGATGTGATAAACAGTTGCAACACTGACTTTATGCACCAAGCATAAAACAAACAAGGTTGATAACATTTTTAAACAAAATTTCTTAACGATGATCGCAATGGCAATAATGAAGTGGTCAATACTTAAAAGGGATAAATGTTTTGACGGTGTTTCAAAATAATGAAAAAGGAAAGGTTTTGTATTTTACATTACACAGGTATAAATCACTTGTTGAAAAGAGATCCCAGGTAGGAGGAATTAAAAATGCACTGGAACATGTACCATACAATAACATAAAAACAATATAAAATATAATACAGGTAGTAATCTACAACCACAATTGAGTCCAAAATCTCCATTGTAAAGCAAGGTCCTCGTGAATTGAATTTTGCCCTATGTTACAACCTTTCTTACCACGGTTGTTAAGTGAATCACTGCAGAGGTTAAGTTAGTAACATCGTTGTTAAGTGAATCTGGCTTCCCCCATTGACTTTGCTTGTCAGGTCGCAAAAGGGGATCACATGACCTCCCAGGATACTGCAACTGTCATAAATATGGGCCAGTTGCCAAGCATCCCAATTTTGATTACATGATCATGCATCAGTTGTTAAGTGTGAAAAAATGGTCATGAGTCACTTTTTCAGTGCCATTGTATCCTCAAACGGTCACTAAATGAACATTTGCAAGTCAAGGATTCCTTGTAAAGAATGCATAACAATTGTGAGAAGAGAAGTGTGCACTTCAGATTGAAGCTTTAAAAAGTGTTTTGGAGCTGGCATGGACGTGTACCTTCCATCTCCTTAAGAAGCAATGAAGCCAGGAAATGTGTTTGAGATAAGGCACTGCCAAGGCACCATACGGATAGGATGTAAATCCCTCCACTGTCAGGAGTTAGATTTGAATTGATTCTGGTTAATCACCCCTATATGAGCCAGGGTGGTGCAGTGGTTAAAGTGCAGTACTACAGGCTGATTCTGCTGCCTGTCTGCTGCCTGCAATTTGGCAATTCAAATCTCACCAGGCTCAAGGTTGACTCAGCCTTCCATCCTTCCGAGGTGGGTAAAATGAGGACCCAGATTGTTGGGGGCAATAGGCTGACTCTGTAAACCGCTTAGCGAGGGCTGTAAAAGCACTGTGAAGTGATATATAAGTCTAAGTGCTATTGCTATATATGTAGAGGTGTAATGTATGTATATAAAGAAATGTGGAAATAATCTTAATGATGGAATGGATGCATTGTTAAGAGAGGACAATTCATCATCAAGTGTTTTTCTGGGAAGTAGAAAAGAAACAAATTAAAAATAACTTTGTTCTTACAGGTAGTCCTCAACTTACAACAGTTCATTTAGTGACTGTTCAAAGTTACAACGGCATTGAAAAAAATGACTTACGGCCATTTTACACATTTATGACTGTTGCAGATTTCCCATGGGTTATGTGATTAAAATTCAGGCACTTGATAATTGACTCCTATTTATGACAGTTGCAGTGTCCATGTGAGCACCTTTTATAGTCTTCTAACAAACCAAGTCAATAGGGAAGCCTGACAACTGTGTTTCTAACTTAATAACTGGAGAAATTCATTTAACAACTATAGCAAGAAAAGTCATAAAATAGGGCAAAACTCACTTAACAACTGTTTCGCTTAGCAACAGAAATTTTGAGCTCAGTTGTGGTCGTAAATCTAAATTCTTTGGTTATGAGGGGGAAACTCTGACAGGCTCCCAAGATTCTATTATTATACCATACAATAACATAGCATTTCTGTAATCCATGTGGCGTTTGTTTCCTAACCTGGCTTACCTCAAAGGAAGGTGCCAAAAATTTTGAACAACTATTATTCAGGTTGTTTCTTGGCTGTGGTACTTACAAGCAGCCAATTCCTAGTTCTATGTGTTGTGGTGTGGTGTGCTATGGCATGTTGTACAGTTCATACTACATTCTTTCAAAAAACAAGATTGTTAACCCAATCATAGATTTGAACAACTATTTGGAACAAAACCGCCCTTAAATTAATCTACTATTTTGCTTTTCTTTTTTAAAATGAATTGTTTTTAATTTTCATCTTAATTGTTTTCAAACCTTGTTATTCTTATTGTAATGGACAAGATTTTTCCCTCCTTCTCTTATAAAGTACTCTGGGTTCCTTTGAGGAGAAAGTGGCATATAAATAAAAGAATAAAATAAGCATGTTCTTAAGCCTCATGTGCTTATCATATCTCAATACTCTGATCTGGTAAACTTATCAAGTATTGAAATAACGCTACTGGTTAAGATGCTTAGAAAGAATCTTGCATAAGAAAAAAAATATTCCTACCTTTTCATAATCTTCTAGAGCTCCTTTCTTCTTAATATTTCTCTTTGCTAGGTAAATGGCTGGGGATATTTTTTTAAAAAGAGAAAATACTTTATTGCACAGCTGTAAAAACCAAATGAATATGATTAATGACTAAGATTTAGCCTGGATGTTGTACAATATTTTCCAAAGGGAGGCTGTGCCTGAGAGGTGCTGATGTCTTCTTCAGACACATCATCTTGAATCACACTATTGGTGTGGAGGAGGGAACGGCAACTGAAGGGCAGGTAGAAGTTTAGGGAAGTTTAGTTGGCAAGCATCCATTAAATAACTGTAGCCAAATACCTTTAATTAATGTACGTGCAAGTTATATATACAGCAAAGATCAGAACTGCTGTTTGGTGTTCCTGTTCAGCATATTTTTACTCATGACTTTAAAAGAGGAATGACTTTCAATACTCTTCAAAGATCAAGGATTATTTAGGAATAAAAAGTTGCTGCATTGTGTCTGACGAAGATACTCTAGGATCTCTTGAAGCATATTTATTTTATTTATTAAATTTTTATTCCACCCATCTCCTCTATAGGGTGACTGTGGGCTGCTTACATTATAAAAACAAGTAGAAAAATAATTCAAATATTAATTCATTAAAACTAGCTTTTAAAAGGAGAGGGGGGAGAGGGAGGGAGGGGGGAGAGAGAGTGTGTTTTGGAAGTTTCTTAGTAGTCTGTATTGGTTGGTGACAATTATCTGCCATATTTACAATAGCTGCTTCATACTTAGTCAAATCACCAGTCTATCAATCCGACACCTAGCTATCACGACTCATTATAGCTCTTAAGGTCTTCTCCTGCCTCACCAGAAGTCCTTTCAAATGTAGAGGCCAGAAACTGACTGTAAGACCTTTTTGTAAGTAAGCTGGCACTTTACCACTGAACTAAGAAATACATTTAACCCCATTTGGTACAGCTGAATGAAACAGTTTGGAGCAGTGGTGGGATTCAAAAAATTTTCCTACCAATTCTGTGGGCATGGCTTGGTGAGCGTGGCAGGGGAAGGATACTGTAAAATATCCATTCCCTCCCCACTCCTGGGGGAAGGTTACTGCAAAATGCCCATTCCCTACTAATCTGCTTTCCAGCTCCATTCTCCTGTGCAGGGCAACACAAGAAAACCCAGCCAATCAGCTGGGACTTGGGAGGCAGAGAATAGATGGGGGCGGGGCCAGTCAGAGGTGGTATTTGCCCGTTCTCCAAACTACTCAAAATGTCCGCTACCGGTTCTCCAGAACTGGTCAGAACCTGCTGAATACCACCTCTGGTTTGGAGGATAAAAAATATATCTGCAGTTGGCATACAAGAAGCAATACTGAAAGGATTGTGTCCAGTACATTTGTTGACCAAAACTTATTTGACTACAGAGCACTGTCTCAATGTATGGACATCTTCTTCCTTTCCAAGAGGTTATATCTTAAACAACGAGATCCCCAAGCGTAGAAGTGTTTCAATACCTTTCATTGACAGAAATAGAGACACTGAGGAAAAGAAAGTCAGATTGTAATGCAGTCCTAAAATTTCAGTTACTTTTTGTTCTTCTGCATTTTGAACACCTTTTACATCCTTCTCAATCCTTCTCCTGCATATCCTTTATATGCTACCTTTAACGGTATTCAAGAGAGGATAATGGGATTCAATTAATTGATGTGCTGCACTTGAAGAAATCAATCTGAAAGAGGACAAGACTGTATTTCTTGTATTATGGATCAGTCACAGAGTCAGCCAGATGCTTAGATTGATAGAATCAGATACATTTTAATCTATCAAGCCCTTCCCAATGACCCAGGGTAGTATTATACAGGTAGTCCTCAACTTATACCACAATTGAACCCAAAATTTATGTTGCTAAGTCAAACATTTGTCAAGTGAGTTTACCCCATTTTACGACTTTTCTTGCCACTGTTGTTAAGTGAATCATTGCAATTGTTAAATTAGTAACACAGTTGTTAAGTGAATCTGCTTCTCCATTGATTTGCTTGTCAGAAAGTCACAAAATCTGATCATAAGACTCCAAGACACTGCAACCGTCATAAATATGGATCAGTTGCTAAGCATCTGAATTTTGATCATGTGACTATGGGGATGTTTCAAATTATCATAAGTCACTTTTTTCAGTGCTTTTGTAACTTTGAATGGTCACTAAATTAACTGTTGTAAATTGAGGACTACCTGTAATTAGTATTTGCTTTAAAAATATTCAAGATATTTTTGTTCTGCACAGGAGTCTTGCTGAAGTTTTCCAACAATTAATTGTTGTTATGCATTAAAAAGACTTAAGGCTGGGATCTCACTATTTTGCTAGTTTACTTCCTTGGTGAATATACCCATCTTCCAGTTCTTATACCAAGCAATCTCTTTTAACTCATTCAAAAACTTCCTGGGAATCCACAAACTCTCCAGAATTGTTTTTCTCATTGGAATAGCATTTTATTTTTGAGAAGGTCCCAAACTTTCTGTGCTTTCTTTGATTTGATGGTTCATATTTTGCACCTCACCCAGAATTTCTTTAAACTTATTGAAATGGGATCTTTTGAAATCTAGCCTAGGTGTGTGTTTATACTGTGAGCCACTGAGAATTTATTTTGAATTGGGCAGTATCTGAGCTGATAAATTAGGAAGAAGGGAGAAAGAGAGAGAGAGAGAGAGAGAGAGAGAGAGAGAGAGAGAGAGAGAGA